TGCTGGGTTGAGAAGGATCACTAACAAATGGGTATCCCAAAAAGGTTGAGGAAAAGTCTATTAATAGTTCAAACCAGGCCAAGTGTGGTGTTGCATGCCTGTAATCCCAGCACTTGGGAGGCTGAGGCAGGAGGATTGTGGTGAGTTTGAGGTCAGCCTGGGCTACATAGTTCAAAACTAACCTGGACTACATAGTGAGACCCTATCTCAAAAACAAAAAATTCAAACCAAATGATTCAAACCAGTTCTTATGAATGTTTCTGTTCTAAACTAAAATAATCTACTGAGGAATTTATGGTGGGTTTAAAGGACTTCAACTCTGTTTTAGGTCTGATCTCTGTTGGAATGTGTGTAGGCTTTATTTTAGCTATTTCGGGGTGTTTTCATTTCAAAGACAGATAAGATTTGTGCCTCCAAGGACCTAAGAAAGACCCAGATAACGGGCTAGAATGGCTTTTTTTGTAAACCTTGAGTGAAGTTAAATTGAGTGTTAAAGGATTTTAACTTGTTCTAAGTCTGATTGCTGTTCTTTAATCTTGTTGAAGGCTCCCATTGTGTTTCTTTGGGTTTGGAATGAAAGTCTCAAAAAGAAAGAACTCTTTTTAAATGTTGCCAATTTATTTATCTTGAAATGACTCAAACCAATAAACCAGAATAAAAACACCTGAGCTGGGGATTTAGCTCATTGGTTCTGCCACCTGCCTTGCAAGCACAAGGTCCTGAGTTCTACCCCGGTTCCAAAAAAAAAAAAGAATAAAAACACCAGAGTTTAGTATATGAGAACATAGTTCACATATAAAGTTTCTCCTGCTAATGTGACTTTGGAAAGGAAGGAACAAAGAACATTTTTTTTTTTAACCTGCTGCTATGGTTTGGATGTGGTTTTGTTACTGGAGTCTGGGGTGTTGTGCTCTTCCCAGGGTTCTTTCTAGGTTCTTGTTATCCTGAACAAAGAATTGGACAAGAAATGTGCAAAAGGTAGCAAGGTCTTATATTTATTAAAGGTACGAAAAGAAGTATGCTCTACAATGTGAGTGCAGGCCAATTAAAGGTAGGAAAGGAAAAAAACCTCACTTTAAAGGTAGGAAAGGAAGTACACCTTGCAAAATACAGAGCAGGCTATTGGAAGAGCTTACAGTGGCCAAAACATTAATGGTGACTGTCTTTTGTATCCCTTATTTCAATGTCAGATCTAGGCCATCCTATCAAAAACCTGCTTGATTTTGGGCCAGAAGATTTGAAGATAGCATTCTCTGACTGGTCCCACATGTGGGGTGAGGGAACTGTTCTGCACATGTGTCCTGTATCACTGTGATTGGCAGGTCCTGCCCACTTGTACAGCCAGCTGGCCACACCCTAATCTCCTGCCTCAGTTTAAGTATGTCTCCTAAAGGTTCATGTATTGGAAGCTTGCTGTCCAGTGTGATGGTTTTGAGGTGGTGGAACCTATACAAGGTGGGGCCTACTGGAAAAAGTACTGTTTTTCAAAAGGGATTAGTGTAGTTTTTTCTTTGTTTCTTTTTATTTTTCTTTGCAGGTCTGAGAATGGAACTCAGGGGCTGGGGAGGGCATTTGGACAAGTGCTCTGTACTGTTACAAGCAAGCTGGGTCCTAACAGCACAAGGGTTCTTTGTGTCTTTGACAAAAGATTTCAGACAAGACACTTAATGTAGACCATTGTATATAAAGTATAGGTAGCGTTTATTGTAAAAGAAGATTTTGAGAGAAAATAAATACACCTGAAGCATGAAAGTGGGCAAATGTCAAAATGGCAGCTGCACTGAGTGAGGTCTCAGGTTACATGGATAGGTTAACAGGTCTTTCTTTTCCTTCCTCCAAGGTCATTGTTCTTGTACAAATAAAATGGGCTGTGTTTATCTACTTCCGAGAGAAATATGTCCTCATCTCCTCTCCTTAGATGGCTGTCTCTGTTTAGTTAGAGACTTTGAGGTTTTTCTAGCCCCTCTCCCATCCTCTGGACTTTGTATGGCCCTGAACCTTATCAGCAGCTCAGAAGATGTTATATAATCTTGAACTGAAGTTTGAAACCACAAACTTGTGTGCATCCTATCTATAGCTAAGGCTTAGAAAGTGAAAGGTGAAAAATTCACCTTTTCTTTGCTTTTTAAGTAGCCCCAACCACCTGTGTCCAGCCTGATAATAATGACTTTTTGCCTAACACACACTACCACTAAACTATACCCCCAGTGCATTAATGTAGTTCTTATGGTTAAATATTGTGAGAACAGGTTTCTATAAAAAAGAGTGAGCCTGAGTGGGCATGGTGGAACACACCTGTAACCCCAGCACTTTGGGAGGCTGAGGCAGAAAGATCCCAAGTTGCCGCCAAACCTGGGAAACTTAGCAAGACCCTGTCTCAAAAAAGGGCTAGGGCTGTAGCTCACTGTGAAGGCCCTGGGTTCAATCCCAAGTGCCTCCAAAATACAAATAAGACTGGGCATGGTGACACATGTCTATAATCTCAGCAATCAGGAGACTGAGACAGAAGGATTGCTGTGAGTTTGAGGCCAACCTGAACTACATAGCAAGACTTTGTCTCAAGAAACAACAAAAACCAAATAAAACATTCAAGGTAAGTAATACTCTGAGGCAACTAGAAACAGCAGAGAACTTCTAACCTGAAAAAAAAACCACAAAAATTCACAACAAACACATTTAATGGAAATGTTTGAAGCATTCCCTTTAAAATAAGAAATGATGGGCCAGGGATTTAGCTCAGTGGTTCTGCCACCTGCCTTGCAAGTGCAAAGTACCGAGTTCAATCCCCAGTACCAAAATAAAATAAAATAAAATAAGGAATGAGGGTGGGAGGGCTAGGGAGAGGGATATAGAGATCTTACTTGGCTTACATGTGTACCCGAGGGCGCTTTGTGTAATATATTGTACACTACAGCATTTTATATTTTTTGAGTTGACTTTCAATAAATTACAATTTTCACACCCCCAAAAATAAATAAAATAAAATAAAGAATGAGACAAGGATAGCAGCTATTGTCACTTGGAACTTTTCACTGGACATGCTAGGAACCACAGAATGGCAAAAATGGAACTAAACTTTTTGTTTTGCAAATTAGGTGACTATAGAAAACTCAATTAAATTTTTGTTTTGTTTTGTTTTTTGAGACAGGGTCTTGCCTTGGCCTTGGCCTTGAATTCACTGTGTAGCCCAGGCTGGCCTCAAACCTGCAGTAATCCTCCTGCCTCAGCCTCCTGAATTCTGGGATAACAGGCATGTGCCACCATGTCCAGCTATACATAAAACTTTAAAATACCATTATAGTAACAACAAAATATGAACTGCTGAGGAAAACATCTAATAGATGATGAGGATAACCAATATAGAAATGATTATATAGCTTCCTAGAAATAAATTTAAAGATATAATAGAGATGCGAATTTTTACACATCACATTTTTATGTCCATTTTTACAGATAGGAAGGTGCTATCATAAAAACATACATTCTTTCTAAATCTAGAGTCAATGTAAATTTAGTAAAAATACTACTAGGCTTTTTCCTGGAACTTGATAACCTATATATTATGCAGGAAAGTAAAGGAATAAGAGAAGCTGGAGTGGTGTGGATGAGTAAGAGTGGGAACAACTGAGGCGCGAGGCTTCAAGGCTCCAGAACAGGGCTGTGTGCAGGAAGAGCTAAAGGAGAACGGAGAGCTCAGGAACAGACACCACCTAGGACATCACCAGGCAGGTGACACCACAGTCAGGGCAAGGTCAGCAACTGAGAGATAATGAAAAAAATTGGTCTCTGACTTAGCAACCAAGAACAATAACAACAACAAACCCAAACAAAGAGTTCAGGTGGGTTAAAGGCGTAAATGTGAAAAGAAATACTTGTAGAAGAAAATACAATTGCTGCCTGACCTTTTGGTAAGATCAGAGTAGGAGAAAATGCAGTAAGGAAGAATTTCGTAAGACACAAAAAGCACAGATTACCACGTCATAGTTAAAATATTTTATATTTTTATTCTTATATTAAAATAAAACCATTCTTTAAAAATACGCTTTTTATCCATTTTAAAAACATTTAATAATTCAGAGGTACATACTTAAATATTTAGGAAAAATAATGCCTTGGATTTGCTTCAAAATGATCTGGGAGTGAGGGAATGGGTAGAGTTATTACTGTTATAAAATTAGCTATGAGAGTGCTGGGATGTAGCTCTGGTAGAGCAGCTGCCTGTGGAATGTGAGAGGCCCTGGGTTCAATCCCCAGCACTACAGAAAAAAAAAAAAAGAAAAATTAGCTGTAAGTTGGTAATTGTTGAACCTGAGCCCTTTTCCTTTTATCAAAACCATATATAGTTTTATAAAAACCATATATAGTTTTATAAAAACCATGGTATGGTTTTTCATTTTTAAAAAAGATTAAAAATTAAGATAACAAGTTTTCACCCACAGATTAGTGAATATTTAAAAATCTGACAGTTTGTAGTGTAGAAAGAGTACAGAAAAGTGGGAACTCATACACAAATGATAGGAGCACAAACTGGCTCAACCAATTTGGAAGTGACTGCCATCTTCTAGTAAAATTGAAGATTTGTATTCCTAACTACCTCACTGTTCCCCATCTAGGCTAAGTCTTACAAAATCTTTTATCCCCTCAGTACTGGGTATTGAACCCAGAGCCGTCTTACTGAGTTACATCCCCAGCCCTTTTTATTTTTTTATTCTGAGACAGGGGCTCAATAAATTGCTAAATTGTGGCTGGGAATATAGTTCAGTGGCACAGCATCTGCCTGGCAAGCATGAGGCCCTGAGTTCGATTCCAGGTACCAAAAAAAATAAATAAATTGCTAAATTGCTCAGGTGGGCTCCAACTTAGGATTCACTCACATCAGCCCCTCAGAGCACCGGGGTACAGGTGTCAGATGTGCATCACCATACCTGACTGAAAATCTTACTCATGGACACATGTACAAAACAGTCTCATTGGTTGTTTTCCTTTCTTTCTTTCTTTCCTTTTTTTTTTTTTGGTGGTACTGGGGATTGACCGTACCCAGGGACTACCGAGCTATATCTCCAGTCCTCTGCCATTTTTTTCCCAAATTCTGAAAGAGGGTCTTAAGTTGCTTGGTTTCAAGTATGTGCTTCTCCAGACTCAGCCTCCCCAGTAGCTGGGGTCACAGCTGTGCCCCTCCATGTCTGGCTGGCTCTTTGGTTTTGTTTGTTTGTTTTTTCAGATAGGGTCTCGATATGTAGTTCAGGATGGCTTTGAATTCATTATGTAACCCAGTCTAGGGCTGGGGATTTAGCTCAGTGGTTCCACTGCCTGCCTCTCAAGCACAAGGTCTCGAGTTCAAACCCTGGTACCAAACAACAAAAAAATTATGTAACCCAGGCTAGCCTCAGACTCACACCTGTCCTCCTGCTTCAGCCTCCTAAATGCTGGGATTTCAGGTGTGCGCTACCATGCCCAGCCAGGCTCTTTGTCTTTAATAGCAAAATACTGGAAACAATCAAGTACCCATTTGTAGAATGTGTAATTAAATAGTAGCATATTTACACGATGAAAGGAAGGAATTAACTGGAGTGACAGGCCTCAATGTGTCTAAATCTCACAAACAAATCCACAGAATACAAACATTATAATGATGTTTGTATAAAATATAAAACCACATAAAATTAAACAACATTTTGGCAGGGATGCAAAAATGCAGGAACTTTATACAGAAAAGCTGGGAGTGATTAAGTTCAAAATTCAGAATAGTGATTATTTCTGGTGAGGAAAGTAAAGGGGACTGGAATGCAGGGGACAAAGAATCATGTTAGGGATGATTTTTTTTTTTTTCAGTTCTGGGCATTGAACTCAGAGCCTTTGCACTGAGCTACAACCCCTTTTTTTTTTTTTTTTTTTTTTGGTTTTTTTTGGTACCGGGGAACGAACTCAGGACCTTGCACTTGCAAGGCAGGCGCAGTGCTGCTGAGCTAAATCCCTGGCCCTTTTTTGGTTTTTTGAGACAGTCTTGCTGTGTAGCCCAGGCTAGCCTCCAACTGCCTCACCTTCCCGAGTCCTGGGGTTGCAGGTGTGCACATCAGGTATAATTATTCATAATTAAAAATTTTTGTTTTTCAGTAAAGAGGGCATGTGATGAGGAAAATGACAGAAGAGGCATAAAAGTACACACTGGGAGAAACAAATTTAGTTCAACAACAAACTTACTGAGTACAGATGCAGGACATCCAGCTGTCCTACAAAGAACATAGTCTCTCCCAGAAGAAAAATGCTGATTCCTCTCAGTCCAAAGGTGAAGACAGCTATGCTGAAAGCAGCTTTGGTTCTACTGGGCCTTCGATGCGGCCCTGGGTTGTCAAGGATCAGTGGGGTTCTGCACCAGGAGAAGGGGCTGAGCCCTGAGCTCTGCTTCCTTCTCTCCCCACCTGCTCCCTCTCCTTTCTAGTACATTCAGAATGACTCGTAGTTTTGGTTTTCTTTTTTAAATGTTTGGTCGTAGGACTCAAGCCCAGGGCTTCATGCATGCTAAGCACACACTGAACCACTGGGCTTCTCCTCCAGCTCTAAGCTGTGTCTTCAGTGGGAGTCATGCAATAAATAAAATACAATGCACCTCCACCTAGCTTTCTGAAGCAAGTTGATGTCTCTGGGAAAGAGAACAGCAGTAATGCGAGCATGAAGGGCTCCATACCTGTTGCTTTCTCCTGACACCTTTTCTGGGGGTTCCCCAGGCAGCTGGAAGAGTATCCATGCTGAGCCTGCAGCTTAAGTTTCCAGTTCATCACTGGGAGGGAGGCCTGTCTGCACCAGTGACCCATTCTGGGGAAGAAGGCAGGTGTGTACTAGGCTTCTGTCCAATTAGGCAGCAGGCCAAACACAGCTGCTCCTCCAGGTATCAGCTCCTCCTCCTACCGCCTCCAATTTCTGGCTTCCTCCTGGCCTTCCTGGGGGACTCCCCAGCCTCCTCCTGGCCTTCCTGGGGGAGTCCCCAGTGTCCCTGAAGCCTTCCTGGGGGAATCCCCAACGTCCCTCTGGCCTTCCTGGAGAACTGATAGTAATGGAAGCTCTTTGGGCAGTCTGATCCCAGGGTCATGTACAAGGCACTCCAGACACTGGCTCCCAAAGCCTCCTGTCACCTCTCCTGGAATCCAAGGCTCTGTATGAGGTATTTCCAGCTTGACCCCAACTTTCTGGGTCCCATGACCCCACAAAAAGTTTCAACTGAGTGTCTGCAGATCTGAAAGAGACCCAACAGAATCACAAGGCTTGTCTTTCTTCCCAAACCCCACATCTCTTTTTCCCCAACAGGCCACCTCTTCTGCCTTTTATCTACTACGTTGTCTTCTAAATGCAGTAATAAAATGCCCTGCCCTGGGTATGCTTTTGTGTGCATTTCCTTCCTATCACTTTGTAGCAGGTTGCTTTACTGAATTGATCTCCCTCCTTGTATCTATCTGCCCAGCTTCGGGACATTTCCAGCCCCATCCCAGGGAGAAACCTAATACTATTCTTCTACTACTAGCTCATATTATTGAGGACTTGACATGCGCTAGGCCCTGCCTGTTGGGAATACCTGACTTGTGCCAGGCCATGTTCTGAATGCTTACTTAGCATATGTACTATTCTCACGGGAAGCCTGATGAGCAATAAGAAAGCTGAGGTCCAGAGGCAGTATAACTTGTCCCAGTGGCTTCTCCAGGATCCTAAGGGATGGAGCCAGGATTCAAACCCCGGCTTTCCCAGAGCCTGCACCTGGAGCATTAACTGCTAAGCCACTGTCTCCTAAAGGCCACCATAGATCCAACTCGGTGGCTGAGGGCCCTCGCCTACTCCCACGCCTCATACCCATTGCTTACAGCGCATGACAGCTTCCTTTACTTGGCGGAAGCCCCGATCCGGGCCACTGCCGTCCACGTAGTACATGAAGCGGAGCTCAGCGGGGTAGGCGTCTCTGGTCAGGCCGGACATCAAGGGGATGGTGCAGCCCTCGGCCCCTGGGGCCTGGGTCAGGGCCTGCAGCATCTGGAACTTGCACCAGGGGTCACAGAGGAAGCCGGGGGTGATGAGCAGCACGTGGCAGTGACTACTGCTCAGCGCCTGGCACAGCTCAGACACGATGGCCCCGCCTGGGGTCGCATCCCTCAGCTGCAGAAAGCAGCGCAGCTGATTGGAGCTGCCCTCCAGATAGGAGACCAGCTCCTGAGCAGCAGTCAGGTCCTCCTCGCTGTGGCACACGCAGGCGTCATAGTCCTTGCTCCAGCGGCCACTGCTGCTGGTGTCCGAGTGTATTGGCGGTGGGGTAGAAGACGCGACTGAGCGGAGGCTCAGAGGTGGGGCGCTGTCCTGTGAGGCCAGCTGCGTATCGCCACTGAGGTGGCTTTCCGAGGAGATGGGCACGTTCCTAGGCTTCTTCAGCAGGGCCTGCCTGAACCAGTCTGGAGAGGACAAACACACCGTGCTCAGTCCAAACCTTCCCCTCAGGCTGCCTTTTCACCGACCCCGCAGGGTGGAGCCCAATCGCCAAAGGAAGCCAGCTCCCTGCACTGGGAAACTACCTGCTTCCTCTCAGACTCCTACTGCTCCATTATTTTAGCACATCCTTCAGGTCTAGCATTGGTTCCCTCTGTCTGTAAAGGTTCTAAAAATACACTAGAGTCGGGTGGGAGTGTTTCACCAGCCTGGGTAAGAGAGAAGGTCTTAGCTGGGTGAGGTGGTGTGTCCCTGGAGACCTGGCTACAATAGGAGGCTGAGGCAGGAGGATTATCTGAACCGAGGAATTGGAAGTCAGCCTGGCAAAGGAGTGAGACACTGTCTCAAAAACTGAGAGGAGGTGGGTCTTAAAAACTCACCTTAGGATTAGGGTGGGTTCCCTACCCACTGTGGAAAGGAAAGGGCATCAGGGACTGGCATCTTTTTGGTCCTGAGAAATCCAAGAATTTTGCTAAATGGGCAACATGGAAGAGAGCTACTGCTCAGAGCTCCTGAGGAGCACGGAGCTGAGTGACTCAGAACCCACACTTGGGAGCCTGGCACACAGATTTGATTGTGGACCTGCTAGTCTCCATCTCCATTCCCTCATCTGTAAAATGGACTTGTTCTGTTGCTGAAGGATATATATGGCTGCTCTCTGGTGTTCTAGGAGTCCTCCATAATGATGTTAAAACCCAGCTGTTGATAAGGACAGATAGGATGGGGCTTATTTCTCTGCTTGGCCCTTGCTCTGAATCATTCTGGAACAGATTTAGATAATAAGAGATACAACGTTAGCCACTCGGGACAGTGGTTTCCAGCCTAGGGAAATGAGCAGAGCGGGCCTGGAAAGCTCTGAGCCCAAGGAATCGAGGAGTCCGCTCACACACGCCTCCTTCCTCACCTCCACAAAGCATGGGGTGGGTGGGCAGGCAGGCATTGAGGTCCAGGTGGGAGCTTTGTCCCCTCATCAGCCTGGCTTCGTCTCTCCCCTCCCACACACCCACTTGAGGAGCAAGGACTACTCTCTCAGGAACAAGAGCAGAGGAGGAGCCTGGGTCCACTCACCAGCCATCCTGCCCAGAGGCTTCCTGGGCTGCGAGTGAGGCACTGGGAGGGAAGGTGATGATGCCATAGTGTCGGGCTCGAAACTAACCCTGCCAGTCCAGGCACTGGGAGGAGGCCCAGTGTTGACCTTCCAGAGCAGCCATCCTACAGGGGACAGAGAGAAAGAGATCACAGGAGCTGCACTGCCATGTTTCTAGCCCCAGCACAAGGCTCCTGGGGGTGCTGTGGCTCTCCCAGTGCCCAGTGGGCTCAGTTTCTGAATGTACCCTGTCTTGGCTCAGGAGCAGACACCACAGCTGGGCCTCGAGGTCAGACCTACAGGGTAAGAGCTCAGCGTGACTGGCAAGGGGTCTGTTTTCTGCTCCACCTGGCCAGGCAGGCACACTGAGAATCTGGGAGGCGCAGCTGGCAGGAAGCTCTTTAGAGGGACTTCTGGTGTGAATGCTGAAAGATGAGAAAGACAGCTGCTGTTTGGGCAGAAAATGATGCATCCAGGTAGACAAGTTCGGAGTGTAGAGAGTGAGTACATGCAGGAAGCCTTTCGAGCTTTTCCTCCACATCTGACCCAACAACCCCGCTGTCATCTCGAGGACACAGGATTACAAGCAGCAGTGCCTGGATTCTCACCTCTCACTAACCATGACCTTTAGCAATCTTGCTCAGCTTCAGTGTCCCCATCTGTGAAACAGAAATACTGTTCTCAGCATTACTGTAGAAACTGCATGAGACAGTTCATGTCAAGTAATGGAGCACAGTCCCATGCACCTAAAGTCCCCATATTCAGAAGTCTGAGGTGGAGAACCACTTGAGCCCATGAGTTTAAGACCAGCCTGACCAACACAGACTGTTTCAAAGCAAAACAAAATAAGCCTGGTGTAGTGATGTACACCAGTAATTCAAATACTCAGTAGGCTGAGGCAGGAGCATCACCACCAGTTAGAGGTCAGTCTGCACTATATAGGGACACCATATTTCAAAAAACAAAACAAAACTCGAGCTGGGTTCGGGCTACATGCCTGTAATCCCAGCACTTAGGAAGCAGGATTGCCATGAATTCAAGGCCAGTCTGAGCTACATAGTGGGTTCAAGGCCAGCCTGCACCACATAGGGAGACCCTGCCTCAGAAACAAAACAAATCTTACAAAAAAAAAAAAGACAAAACAAAACAAATCTAGATATGGGAGGAGTATATTATGTTCAGTTTAGAAGATGCAATATTGTAACCTTCATTTTCCTAAAGTGATCTATAGTTCAATGCTATCTTAGATTCCAGAAGATTTTTGCTTTGTTTTGTTTTCTTTTGTTTTCATTTGGTATTGAAGATTGAAGCGCCTTCTCATTGAGCTATATTCCCAGCCTTGTTTTTATTTTTTTTATTTTGAGACAAGATCTTGCTAGGTTGGTAAGTTGTCCAGGCTTCTGACTTGTGAGGCAGGCGGCTGAACCACTGAGCTAAATCCCTGGCCCTTGGGTTCTGACTTGTGATCCTCCTCCCTCAGCCTCCCAGGGTGCTGCTGAGATTATATGTGTGCACAACCACACCAGGCTAGATTCCAGAAGATTTTTATTTTTGGTTTTTCCATGGAAGGCTTACCAAACTGCTCCTAACTAAATTTATATGGAAATGCAAAAGACCAAGATACCTTACTGGGGAACCTGCCAAGTCCTCTTTCTACCACAGGGCAGGGATGTCCCTGATGCTGCAGGCTTCTTCCACCTGGGTTTCTGGGAGAAGACTGAGGCACAGAGCCTGCCTCAGTTCAGGAGCCTACTAGAGACACTGCTCCCCATGACGGGGTGGGGGAGCTTGGCTTGGAGGCTGCGGAGCAACAGGCAGAGGGCTGAGAGGGCTGCTTTCTCACTTTCCACCAGATCTCCAGAAGTGAAAAGAAACCTTACAGCTGGAGTGGTGGCTCATGTCTAATCCCGGCACTCTGGGAAGCTGAGTCAGGAGGATCACCATATTTGAGCCCAGGCTAGGCAATTTAGTGACTTAGTGAGACTGTCTCTCTCAAAAAAAAAGAAAACAACAACAACAAATGCCCTGTGAGAAGATCCTGGTCAATCCCCAGTTAACAAAACCAAACAAACAAAAGGCTACCTCTAGAAATTTAAAAGGACCGCAATACTGGACACACTACAATAGAGGTTTCAAAATTTAATAAATGGCAGTCTAGCTGGGCCTGGTGGTGTACTCCTGTAATCTCAGCACTCTGGAGGATGAGGCAGGAGGATTGCCACAAATTTGAGGCCAGCCTGTATTGCATGGTGAGTTCAAGACAAGCCTAAACTACATAGTGAGACCCTGTTTAAAACAAAATAAAAGACAAAAATAAATAAGTATAAAATAAAATTTTTATTTTGAAACAGGGTCTCGCTAAATTCCTAAATTGCCCAGACTGGGCTCAAACTTTCAAACTTTCAATCCTCCTCCCTCAGACTCCCACAGTGCTGGGATTACAGGCATGTGTCACCCACCACCCAGCTACAAGTTTCAACTTCTGGTTTTAGGAAATGATTTGCCCTTCTGACAACACATCCTGATTTTGGGCAATTACCTTTTTCATTGCTTAAGAAGAAGTCTAGGGCTGGGGCTGCAGTTCCGTGGTAGAGAGCTTGCCAACACATGTGAAACTCTGGGTCCATCCCCAGCAGGAGGAGGGTGAGGAAGGAGGTGGTGGGAGGAAGAGAAATCCAGTTGCCAGCAGCATATGCCACTGGAAGTGGGGCAGTATAATCAATCCCTGGCAAATATCATTACAGAGCAGTCTTGGGACAGGAAACAACAGCACCTGTAACAAGATACTTGAGCAAGATGGCAGAGACCTTCCAGTGACCACACACGTAGCCTGCTTCCTAGAGTCTCACCCGTGCACCTCCTTGTTCCTTGTCAGTTCCCATGAAGGCAGGGCTGTGAGGCAGTCACATGCTCACACATGCTTCAGTCTTATCAAGACTTAGTAACAGTCATCGTATCAAGACAGCTGTCAGGCAGAGTAGATAAGGAACTCAGATTTGCAACAGGAAGGTCTAATCACTACTTCTGGCTTTCTCTGATTTGCTGTGTGGCCTCATGTAGACACTTTTTCTTGTATGTGTGTGTGTGTGTTTGTTTGGTTTTTTGGCGGGGGTACTGGGGATCGAATCCAGAGCCTTTTCACTATGCTATAGCCCAATCACTTAAAAAATTTTTTTTGTTTTTAAATTTTGAGACAAGACCTTGCCAAATAAATTGCCCAGCCTAGCTTGAACTTGTAATCCTCCTGCCTCAGCCTCCCACGTATAGCTGGGATTACAGGAGTGCAACACTGCACTGGGCTCTTATGCTTTTAAAAATCATAAAGCAGGCTGGGCATGGTAACACACACCTCTAATCCCAGCACTTTGGGAGACTGAGGCAGAAAGATCACAAGTTTGAGCCCAGGCTCAGCAATTTAGCAATTTAGGAGATCTTGTCTCAAAATAAAAAATGAAAAGAAGAATATAGCTCAATGTGAAGTCCCTTGGTTCAATCACAGTAAGGGGGAAAAAAGTAAAGCAGAATGATATATACCTTACATGCCCACTTTGTAGAGAATAACAAAGACTTGACAGAAAATAAGGAGCTTCTCCAAAGAAAGAAGTAGCAAGATACCTTTAGTGCCTTCTAGAATGCTTTTCCAGTATTGTATGTAGGAATTTATTATGAGAGGGAAATGTTAGGAAGCTTCATGGTAGGAAATGTATTATTATCCAGCATCTGTTCTCCAATTTCTGTTATGTGGGAAATGTACCAAAACCTGTGAAGGGATCTTGACATGGGAGAATAGAATGCATCTGCTATGATTCATAATAAATTTCCATTAAGATGGAGTCAGGATCTGTAGTAGACAGAACATTCCCCTAAAGACGTCTACCTTCTAATCCCTGGAACTGAGATGTCACCAACCACAGCAGATGGAGACTTCTGGAAGTGACTGAGGATCCGAGAGGGGAAGAGCTTTCCGGGTCGCTATGTGGGCCTGGCTGGATCACCAGGCCCCTTCAGGGGAAGCAGGAGGGTCAGAGCCCGGGGAAGGAGACGTGACCACAGAGGCAGAGGCTGGTGTAAGGTGGAGTGTGGGCAGCCTCTAGAAGCTGGAAAGGCAAGGATGGATTCTCCAGAGGGGCAGAGCCCTGCCGACTCATTGTAGATTCCAGACCTGCGGAACTGGAAGGCAAGGAATACTGTGTTGGCTCAAGCTGCTGTGTTTGTGCTCACCTGTTACAGTGGTGACTGGAATCAAAGACATTATTTCTCAGCACATGTCAGGTTGGTGAGTGGAGAAGCACTGAATTCAAGTGGATAGCTGAAAACTAATCTGTTTAAATTGCTTGAAAGAGGTTTTTACACCTCCAAATGAATCATCCTCTATGCTTTGCTAAGGCTAAGTTGTTCTCAAACAGTTGCTAAAGCATTTAGGCAGGACTCATGAAGTCTTGTGGGACAGTGTCACTTAAAAGTGCTGAATATATTTACACCTCGAGGGATACAGTACATGTTTCCCAGAGAGTGGTTTTCAGACTGTGGGGACAGACCTTAGGGTGGCCCCCAGATTCACACCTGTGAGTGAAGGATAGACCTGTGAACTGATGAGACGGACAGAGTCCAATCAAAAGAATATGGCAAAGGGGATAGGGTGTCACCCACACAATTACACTACTGTATATGATATATACATACATCTGCATAGATATGCATGTGAACACTACCTAAGATGTCTATGTATACGCCACATATATAAATATTGTGTGTGTACATGTGTGTGTAAGTGTGTATACACATAGCTCCATCTCAACAGATGAGAGAGAAAGCAGAAGTTGCTGTATTAAGAGAGGATCACATGGGCTGGGGATTTAGCTGGTTTCGCCTCCTGCTGTGCAAGCATGAGGACCCAAGTTCGATCCCCGGTACCAAAAAAAAAAAAAGAGAGAGGATCACATGTCTGTCAGGTGTGGTGGCACGTGCCTGTAATCTCAGCTTTCAGGAAGCTGAGGCACGAGGATCACCAGAAGTTCCAAGCCAGCCTGGGCTACATGGTGAGTTCAAGGCCAGCCTGAACTACACACCCAGACCCTGCCCCCCCTCAAGACCACACGTCATGAACTTTGTGCAGCCTCTGGTAGCTGAGAGTGGTCCCCACTTGATAGCTGGCAAGAAAATGAACCCAAGCCTTCCAAATGCAAGGCATTATTCAAGATAATCCCAAACTGGAGACCACCATGTCTGCCAGCCCAAGTGTCCAGGGGGCGAATAAATCCCATGATCTGCCACGTAGCAGAGTACTATGCCTCACAGAGAATGAGTCACTGCTAAACACAACGTGCATTAATGTCACAAAGTACCAAGTGTACTTGGGAGTGCACAGGGTTTCACAGACTGAAAACCTAAAACTGGGCTGAGCTATTTCATGGTGTCAGAAATCAGGTTAGTCATTACCCTTCGAGGGTGGCAGTGACTAGAAGTGGTTATAAAAGGGCAAGTAATAGTTTACTGATTGTTTTAGAAGTGAACTGTGCAGGAAATGCTCAGCTTGTAGAAAATAGTTAAGCTGTACTCTTAGGCACACAGAGCCCTTTCCACGTGCCCTTCCATACACACTTCAGTATTGAGGAAGAAACTCAGGGCCTTTGCACTGAGCCATATCCCCAGCTTTTAAAATTTATTTTTCTGTACCAGGGATCGAATTCAGGATTTTGGGCTTGCCAGGCAGGCATGGTGCCGCTGAGCTGCATCCCCCGCTGCCTTTTTTATTTGGGGTCAGGGTCTCGCTAAATTGCCCAGGCCTGAACTGCCCAGGTGGGACTCCAACTTGTACTCTAACTTCCAGTCCTTCTACCTCAGCCTCCCAGAGCTCTGGGACTATAAGCATGTGCCACCACACAGGGCTCATTTTTTCATTTTTTAACCCAAAAGCCAACTTGATGTGGTTTCCTGAGTCATTCCAGACCCTGGTGCCTGGGTAGGTGTCTCCGCGGGAGTCTCCGCACTCAAGGACCTCAGCTGTATGCAGTGATTTTTAATTCAAGTCTCCCTAGGACAGGAGGACCGAACCTGCGTTGCCCGCTTGTCTCTCTGGCCCTTGGCGAGACGCCTCGCCTCCGGGTGAACGCTCATTAATGAGTGTGGTGGCAATGCCTCTTGACCCTGCGTAAAGCCACGCACTGTCGCAGTCACCCCAAGAGCTACGGGCAGAGCAGGAAGGAGGCGAGGTCTGGAGGGGAGCTGGATCCGCGGGATAGGCTTAAGCCACTTGGCAGAGCCAGGCTTGTCAGTCACCCCAGCTAACAGCCGCGACAGAAAAGTGACACTGTCCCGCAGGGCCCCGAGGCTTACGTGATCCGGGCGCTGGAAGCAGCCGGGTGGAGGACAGGAGCGGACCGGAGGCGCTGGGAGCTGGGAGAGGCGGGCCAGTCCAGCTCGGGTCCTGACGGGGCCAGTTCCCGGAAGCGCAGGCCGCCGCCCCGCCTGTCCCCGCCCGTCCCCGGGGAGGTGCAGCGTCCGTCCCTACCGCGCTACGACGACGAGGACTAGAGGACTAGCGGGACTTGGAGTTCCCCGGGGGCTACCGTGGGAACTGAGCCCAGGTTTTCTTCTGGGTCGGGCTGGGGTGGGCTGGGAGTTGAGGAGGAGAGACCCTCATTTCACTCATTTAATCTTTTGTGCACAAGCTAGGTGGCGCACGCCTGTAATCGAGGCACTCCGGAGGCTGAGGCAGGAGGATAGCAGGGAGTCTCGGGCTGGCCTGGGCTACATAGTTCAAGTCTAGCCTATGCAGTGAGACTGTTCATACCGTATTTTTCTAATGTGCAAACGATGAGCCTTAGCGAGATTAAACGTTTTTCCCCAAATGCAGAGGATAAGGTAAGCAGTAGAATGGGCACCCAAGCCCCTGGAAGCTGCAGGCTCCCTCTCTTTTGATGCTGGTGACACTGGAAGCAATGTCTGATGCCAGCCAAAGTGCTTTGCCCCGTGGGTAGCGATTCCTACAGCTAGCGACAAGGACCTACAGACCTGCTGTGAAAAGCCATAAGGTGTAGGCAAGATGTTGGCAAGTCCTGGGTTAAACGAAGCTGGCTGACTCCTTTATCCTTCATCTCTGAGTCGTGAGGTATTTATGGGCACTGTGAAGCACCATGGGATAATACAACATGCAAAGGTAATGATTCCGAAACTTTTTTCACTGTGGAAGAAATCTTTACACTATCTTCCTGGGCAGTGTTCCCCCATGTGCCAATTCGGGAAACACCAGCCTATAGGGAGCCATGTAGAAGGCAGGGGGCAGGGGCAGTTTGACTGTGTAGATCTAAGGTTCATGACCTTCTCCTCCAATCTGATTTCTTCCTTTTCTTACCAGCCACCCCAAAGGGTGAGTGGGCCACCCAAAAGGCAGTTTTCTCTAGGGTTGTTCATATACGGCGTTTCCAGGTTCCCTTTCCTCATCAGAATCATGGTCTCTGGTTGCCAGTGTTGCTGTAAGCATATTTGCTTATTTTTTATTTTAAGACAGAATCTCACTAAATTGCTAAATTACCCAGGCTGGGTTTGAACTTGGGATCCTCCTGTCTCAGCCTCCCAGAGTGTTGAGATTACAAGCATGAGCCACCACATCCTGCTCTCACAAGTTTGAGTAAAACTGTGTGGGAGTAGAGGACTCTGTAATGCACTCTTTGTAAATACTGTAAAGCACTTGTGTAGAAGGTGCCTCTGGGTGTGCAGCAGGGTGAAGGCCTCTGTCTTTGGGCCCTGAGATTGGGGTGTCTGCACCAAAGCAGGGGTGACTAAGGGCACCCTACCAGCTACCTTACAGGGGCAAATGGATGTTGTTGGGACTCACCTGTCCCTACCCCCAGGTCCTGGCAAGTTCCTTCCTGTCTTTCAGCAGGTTCTGGCTCTTCCTCTTCTGCCTCCCTCATGGGTCCTGGGTCCCCGGTCCCTCACAAGCCCATCTGTCGTCACCCTGGGCACTCACCCTCTCTTTGCCCATCCTTGAGGGCTGCCTCTGCTGGTTGCCTTTTGTTCTCCCTCAAGGCCACTTGGGAGGAGGGAGTAGGCATCTTACCCATGGACCCCATTCCTGCTTATTTCTCCTTCTCCGAAGCTGTCCCCACCTGCTCCCTGACACTGACGCCCCAGGCCACCACAGGCCTCCTTGGTATTGAGTCTAGGTGACACACATCGTTTTGCACCGTGGCCACTTCCTCCTCAGCTTGCTGCCAGCCTCTGCTGGGTTTTCTCCTGCTCCACAGGCACCTCTTCGGTGTCCTCCTTTTTGCTCTGTCCTTCAAATGTCAGTGGGGTTCCTCTAACTTCTGGTTTTGGCCCCTGCTCTTCTTCTCCCATCCTGTTCTCTGATGTTGTCTCTACCTCCAGTCCAGACTGTCCCAAGGCCACACCATCAGCCCAGCCCCCATTAGATGTCCCTACTTGGATGCCCAGCAGGTCCCTAATTGTTCCAGGCCCTTTCCCTCCCATTCTCTGCAAGCTGTCCCGCCATACACCTGGGGCTTACTGTGCTCCCTCTGCTGTTGCTCTCGTCACCTGCCTGCTTCGAACCATGATGGTGTGGGCTGCAGCACCAGCCTTCGCCTGGCCTCCTGGCCCTGCCTTGATGTCCTAATCTGTTGCCCACAGATAGCTGGGTTGACTTTTGCTCGCCTTTGGAATTTTTCCAGTGCTAAGGATTGAGTCCAGGGCCTCACACATGCTAGGCAAGCACTGTACCACTACACCGCAGGGTGATTGTTTTGTTTTTTACACTGAACGATATCTCCAGCCTTTTCTTTCTTTCATTCTCTCCCTTTCTCCCTCCCTTCCATTTTGAGACAGGTGTCGCTGAATCATTAAACTCAAGTTGCCCAGACTAAGTTTGAATTTTCAATCCTCCTGCCTCAGCCTTTCAGCACTTTTAGCCTCCCAGAGTGCTGGGATCACAGATGTGCACTGCCACGCCTTGCTTTGTTGCTTTGAGACAGTCTCACTATTGTAGCCCAGACTAGCCTTGAACTCCCAACCCTCCTGCCTCAGCCTCCTCTCAAGTGCTGGAATTACAGGTGTGTGCCATCATGCTTAGTGTGACTTCTCTTTAAATCTCCTGAGTTGGCCCCTACCTGCAGGAGAAAATCCAAGCTCCTCAGTGTGGCTCTTTAGCCTCTGGCCCCTCCTCTTTCATGCCATGATCCAGGAAGGAAGTCACTGTGAATCCTGCTATGGTCTAAATATTGGTGTTCTTCAGAAATTCGTATGTTGGAACCTGGGACTCAACAGTGGGACCTTTTGGGAAATGATTAAATCCTGAGGCCTCTCCCTATGTGAATGGGACAGGTGCTGCTATCAAAGAGGATGAGCTGGGCATGGCAGCATATGCCTGTGATCCCAGTACTTGGGAGGCTGAGGCAGGAGGATTGCTGCAAGTTTGAGACCAGCTTGGGCTTCATGGTGAATTCAAGGGCAGCCTGAACAATGTATAGAGGCATTGTCTTAAAAAGAGCACAAAGGGCCGGGGATTTAGCTCAGTGGTGCTACCGCTGCCTCCTCCTCGAAAGCGCAAGGTCCCAAGTTTGTTCCCTAGTACAAAACAAAACAAAACAAAACAAAAACAAACAAAAAACGAGCATGAAGATAGCTGCCTTATCCTTGCTGAGGACACAGTGAGAATTTGCCACTTTTGAAGCAGGCAGCAGCAAGCCCTTACCGGACCATCAATGAGCTGGTGTTGGTCTTGGAATTTCCAACCTCCAGGAGTTTGAGCTGTAAAAACCTTTTGGTTATAAATGACCTGGTCTAAGGTACTATGTCACAGTAGCCTCTGAATCTGTACTTCTTGCCTCTGGGGCTTAGTGCATGGTTCTCCCCCTGCTGGATCCAGCCTGTTTGTCTTTTCAGTTCAGCTTGCAGGTCAGCACCCCAGAAGGCGTCAGGGCCACACTCCTCCCCGCCCCTGCCCTCCTGGGCAACGCGACCTTGTCTGGGGCTTGTTCCACAGTGCTCACTGCTCTCTGCTCTGGAGGGATGGGGAGGGCAGGATACAGATGTGGAAGTTCTAGCGGGACACACACCTAGCTGTGCTGTGCGCATCTCCAGTATGTAGCTTTGAATACAGGTGGAAGAGATGAGTGACTCGTCCCTTCCCTCTACAACCAGAGTTCCCACAGGGCTTCAGAACGGCAGGAGCTCACAGACAGATGCTCACCTTCCAGATCCAAAAAAGGCTCCTGGCAGGGGGATGGGGCCATGGCTCCCACACTTCAGGAGTTGAAGGCTCTGGAATGCTTCAAGAGTTTTCGTCTTAAGAAGAAATGGGACCAAAGACTGGAGTGAAGGAGTTCACCACATTTATTGATCGATGACTGGGGTAACAGAAAAGGCAGTACATCTGGGCTGGGCTACCCCAATGCTTCTGCACCTGTGCTCTGTCCAGAAGTGAGGCTGTCTTTCAGGGTCAGCACCAGGAGGGAGTCAGTCCTCAGCTGGGCTCTCAGGACTCGAGGTCCTAGACCACCTTGGGTGGCAATGGCCTGGGCTAGAGATCAGTCTGAAAGTCCTGCCCTGTCACTTGCTACTGGCATGCAGCTCAGTGTCTGTGCCCGCTGGCCTGCCCAGCCACGTGGGGGATGTGTGGCCAAAGTGAGGGTGGTGGGGAAAGGAATGAGGCCCCGGAGCAGTGCGGGAAGGACCTGGCAGTGGGGGCCAGTGCGGAGGAGCTCACAAGCTCAGATGATATTTTGCTCCAGGACCTTCTCCTCCAAGTAAAAGCGGCTGAAGAGGAAGGGGGTCATATCGATGGTCTGGAAGCAGCCCCCCAGCAGCACCTCGGCCACAGCCCGCCCCACACCCGGGGCATGCTGGAGGCCGTGGCCACTGAAGCCCGAAGCAAAGTACATGTTGACCACTAGCGGATGGGGGCCCACCACACCATTCTGGTCAAAGGTGTTGTAGTCATAGTAGCCAGCCCAGGCGCTGTGAACCTGTGGGTGCACGAGATGTGGGGTCTCAGCAAGGCTGCAGACATGCTCAACCCTCACTCTGGTCAGGGGCAGATGCTGAGGGCCTCGTGGGATAGGGTGGGCTCAGCAGACTCCTCAGTGGTTCCTCAGTGGAGGGAACATGGCAATGGCAGGTCCAAGGGGACCAGGATGTTCCAATATCACCCATCCTGTCCACTGTCCAAAATCAAACAGGAAAAGCCACCCCTGCCAGTTACCTTTAGAGCCTCGAAGGCTGGCACTCGCTGGGCCAGATGAGGCCACACTTTGTTTTGGAAGAAATCGTGGTCCACTTCCAGGTCTGCTGGGTCTGGTTCCTCCTCCTGGTTGAGAGATGGGAACAAGGCTTCGGTTTGCCTGGGACACATGGGCAGACCCAACCTCATTGGTCCCTTTAAAAGGTGGGAATGGGGGGATAAAAGATCCCAGTTCTGACAGGATGGGCTGAAACACTAGCAACACAGAAAAGGGGCCCCGACAGCCTGTCTCCCCTTTCCCAGTCTGTACCCACTCTGCCACCAGCTCAGCTTACCTCAGTGGGGCTACGGCCACCCACATAGTTGTTGCTCAGTCCTTCCCGGCGAAAATAGACTCCACTGGTGTCTGTCACCAGGGGCGTCTCCAGGCCTGGCCCCTGGGGGCAGTGCCACAAGTACACAAACCTGCCATAACGGCGGGGGGGGGGGGGGTGGGGAGAGGGGTTTAGGATATCACACGAACAGCACGGCTGGTGACCGTACCCACCCCATCCACACTCGCATGTGCCCAACCAACTTTTGTATTATCTCTTTCCTTCTCTCACCAACCTCCTCAGCTGCCCCAAGGGACGCTACCTTTTCCTCGGTTCCACAGGTAGCTTGGTGCCCTCCAGGGTGCCAGGTGGCCCCTTCCCAATACCAGCCAGTTCTGCAAGCTGCCCAGACCAGGCTCCTGCGGCGTTGACCACTATGGCACATTCCACCGGCTGGTACTCCAGGCTGTTGTCCATCTTGACCTGCAGGCACCAGAGGGTGAGGGGAAGGAGGCCTGGCCCACACCTGGCTGGGCACCATGAGAGGGACACTTCCTCCTGAGCCTTACTTTACCTGTGCTGGAAAGTGGGTAGAAAGAAGAAGACCAATACTACCACAGTCATAAGGAGCCACTGGATCTAAGGACTTACGTGGACTTCATGGATCCTTTTCAAGTTCACCTCTTCCCCATCTGAGTTCCTCATGCTGTTAGATGAAGTAATAAAACCTGTAAAAAAGAGGAATAATACGATCTTAGAACCTGGGGGTGTAGCTCAGTGGTAAAGCACATGCTTAGCATGTGTGAGGTTCTGGGTTTGATTTGAAGCACATACCTCCCACCCCCTAAAAAGTGCCCCTTAAGTGAGGAAATGGGGATCCTACTGATTTCTTAAGGAAAAAAACTAAAGGATAGGTGCTTTCCCACAGACACTGAAGCCGACAGAGATCAGGTAACTGAGATAAACTTGGCCACACGTGGGACAGGACAGTGCTAAGAGAAACTGTTAAGCAGGTCACAGGTCACAAAGCAGCCTTGTGAGGAGCACAGTCAAGCTGCCCAGGACCTGCCCCCTGGGGGCTGGGAGCAGCCCTGTCCCTCACCAGCCCTTGCTTAGCCCATGAGTGAGAAGCTTGGCCTGGTGCTAGAAGACACAGTATGGGTCCCTACACTCACGTGTCACCTCTCCCTCGCAGAAGAGGACTCCCATTGACTGAACCTTTCGCCGAAGCCCCTGAAGCAGAGACCAGGGGTCAAACCAACCTTCATTCTCCAGCCCTGAAATGAGAAAAGGTGAAAGTAGGAAGTGGGACTAGGGCCTGTTTCTCCTATTATACTTTCTACCGCCCCAACATTTCTCTGGGCTTGGGAGCCAGGGAAAGGTCATCCGGACCAAATGGACCAGGCAGTCCAGCCCTGCAAAGGACAGAAAAGCAGCATAGCTGGAGCACACCCTGTTACCAGGATGGGGTGGCCCTCCTGCAGCATGGCCGTGGTCTGGCCAGACTGTCAACATGGGGGCAGACTCACCATAAGATGCCAGGGCTACTCCCTCCGTGTTTATCCAGGGAAACTTCTTCTGAAGCTGCTCAGGAGACATCAGAGAAATTTTGGCCCCTTCCTGCCTGAGAGAAATGTGTGTGTCTGCGTGTGTATATCATGGAGGGCAAGTGTGTGGAGGACAGGAGCACGGACCCCAACTCCACAAGTGGGGAGTTCAGCTCATTTATGTTGCTCCTCTGCCCTAAATGGCTCAATTTTCCCTCACTGCTGAGTGAGAAAGACCCAGGCATCTAGCTGAGGTTCTTTGCTATCTGAGCCTCTGTCTTTCCCTACACCTTTATCACTGTTTAGCACACTAACCTCCTTGTCCCCTATCCATTCCTTCTCCTTATGACCTGGTAGGGAGATGAGTTTCCCTCTATACCTGACAGAATGGGTTTCTTCTCCACTGCCTGGTGTAGTCAGTCCTTCCCATCAGCACCTTCCCATCAATGTCTCCTCTGGGACACTGTTTCTCAAAGTCAGGTGCTACAAAAAATACTCTCATAAACCAGACTGCCTAACTGGAATTAAATCCTAGGGCCACTATTTACAGGACTAGAACCCCGTACCTCAGTTTCCCCATATGTAAAATGAGGATTTTTAATTTTAATTTTTGTTTTGGAGACAGGGTCTTGCTATGTAGTTCAGGCTGGCCCTGAACTCACTATGTAACCCAGGCAGGCCTCAAATTTGTAGCGATCCTCCTGTCTCAGCTTCCCAAGTGCTGGGATTACAGGTGTGCACCACCACACCCAGCTAAATGAGGATATTCTGACAGTTAAATGCCTTAAAGTGGTAAAGCATTTAGGATACTATGTGATATCACTAGTGAGACTTCTAGAGAGTTTGTTAAAGAAAGCCTCCAGCCACAGTGTTCTGCAAAGATGCCAACTCTTAACTGATTTTGAGACCTGAAGGCATGTCCAACCTGCTGCCTGTTTTTGCAAATAAGCCAAAGCCAATTAATTACATTTTTCTCTATGGCTGCTTTTGTGCTACAATGGTGGGGCTGACTGGCTACAACTGAGCTGAATGACTAGCAGAATCTAAAATATTTACTATTTGTCCTTTGACAGAAAAAGCTTGCTGATCTTGACTGAATGTTTTTTTTAAAAATGCAGATTCATAGCCAGGCACAGTAGCGCACACCTGTAATCTCAACACTTGCAAGGCTAAGGCTGGAGGATCTCAAGTTCAAATTCAAACTAAGTTGCAAGGCCCTATCTTAAAATAAAAAATAAAAAGGACTGGGAATGTAGCTCACTGTGAAGACCCGAGATTTAATCCCCAGAACAAAACAAAACAAAAAAACCCCAAATACCCCTCATATTCCTGGACTACTCTCTGGGATGTTGGTTTATTAGGCCTGGTGGTTCTTATGACCTGGCACAGGTAGGGTCTGCCACAGCAGCATTCTGTCATCTGCCGGAGCCCTTGGCACAGGGCATGGAAGTGCTGCATGCTTATCTTTCTGGAAAGCCTGAGCTCCTAGAGAGCAGGTAACTGTCTCATCAATTGCAGCCTCTCTTCCTAACGTGATGCTGGAGGTCCCTGAAAACATGAGGCTGAGAAAGAGCTCAGGGCTGTATTGGGTACCCACCTCTGCATTTTCACATTGGTTTCCAAGACGGCAGCACCCTTTTCTGAAGCTAGCAAGAGGTAACCCAAGGGGTTGAACTGGAGGTCCAAGGGAGGGCCATCGACCACAGCCAAGTACTCCTGTGTACAAAGAAAGGCCACCTTGAAAAATCAAGGGAAACCTTTCCTGGCCAAATCACCCACAGCTCCCAGGGACCAGTACCCCAAACCAGAAGAAGCCTTCCTGTAGACACCAATACTGGGAAGAGTCGGGAGGCTCCTAACTCCTAGCTGCTTGAACTGCTCCCGGTCCCTGATTCCTCTCAAAGGCTGGACTGCTTCTTTCTCTGAGTGCCACAGTCCCAACCTCCCCGTATCACACTGTACATACATTAATGTTCCGTAGAAAGTCGACTGAAAAGAGAGAGAGCTGGACATTCTGAGGCAGTGAGAACTGCTGACGAATCCCACCCACAGAAAGCCCTGTGGAGGCCTTTGAGTACTGTGGAGAGACAAGAAAAGTTGAGGTAGACGAGTATGCTGTCACAATGGAATGCTGCAATGGGAGCTGTGAGTTCTACACCTGAAGTTAAAGGGGAACCCTCTTTGCAAGTTTATAGCCTAAGAGCAGTCAGGGTGGAGAAACCCACATGCAAGTCCACCAGCAGCCCAAACATAGTGTTAAAATCGCCATAGGCAGATAGGCATAGCAGCGAGGGTCAGTCATCTACAAAGGGCTGGACACAATGAGACAAAACAATAATGGTCTAGAAGTACAACTGTAGATTAAAATGTGATTACTAATTAGAGGATGAAAGACTATGACTAAGGTACCAAGACTTGTAGCTAGACAGGAATGGGAAATATGAACTAAACTGCAGAAACCTCAAAAGTAACAGAATATAGCCGGGCATGGTGGCGCACACCTGTAATCTCATATTTGGGAGGCTGAGGGAGGATGACTGAGAGTTTGAGGGCAGCCTGAGCTACATATTGAGACTTTCTTTCTTGCTCTCTCTCAAAACAAACAACCCCCCCGCAAACAGTGGAATCTAAAAGAAGAGTGAGACAGCTATTTGCATTAATAGCCTGAAATGCAAAGTCTCTTGGCCAGACTTTTGTCATATGAAACTATCCAACATCATGGAATCTGCTTTCAGAAGCAAAAACCTTATTGTCAAAGATCCTGGTTTGAGGAAGAAACCTCAAAAAGGTCTAAAGTCTAAAGCACAGTCGCTGTCCTCTGGACATGCAAGGATTGAGGTCTTCCCTCTTCCCTTCCCCCCTTGCCTCACTCATGATTCTGTCCTACCCTAGACCTCACCGTGTGGTCTCGTTCCACCACCAGCACCCGAATAGCACCTTGTCTCTTCTCCAGCTTCTTCAGCCAAAAGGCTACTGATAGGCCAACCACTCCACCTCCTACGATTACCACATCCGAGTGTTCAGGGGGCAGGTGCTTGGTGTCACACATCAAGTTGCTGGGCTCTCCAGGCATAATTGACTGGATCTTCTTCTTAAACTCCGACACCTTTCCATCCCAGTCTGTAGAATGTGGTTAGGTTAGAAGGCTTATGTCTCTCTTCCTAGGTGGTGGGGCCAGAAGGTGGGCACAGGAAAAGGTGGGCACTTGAGTTGGAAGTCCTCACTGTCATTCTTTCTCATAAGGTCAACTTACCCAGCAGTACCATCACAGCTTTGTTGTATGGTCCATATACAGTCAACCTGTCTGATCACGGATCATGTCTGGCACTGCAATCTTCAACTTCCTAGAATTAGCACTTTCCACTTTCTCCCTAGGCTAAGCGCCTGACATGTTTATCTCCTGAACAGATCTCTTTCTCTCTCACTTAAGCACCAGACTCAAGATATTCAAGTGCACGGTCATCTCTACTAGGGTATCCCAGACCCACAGGCCAAGAGGTGCTGGCATACTACGAGGCAGCTCCCTCTAATGGCAACTTATCTTAGACACCCTTGGATATCCATCACCCCCTGCAAACCTCGTTTTTAAGTGGGATGTGTCACTTGAGAACGGCCGCTTTGGTATCCATACACCTGCCCGGGCTCTACGAGCTCTGGCAGGCAAGGTTTCCCCAGCCGGCCTACAGTCCTGCCAGCGTGGCCCTGAAGGTCACACCAGAACCACAATACCCTCGGCTTTACCCAGAATGGAGTTTCCACTGCGCGTTTCTAGTCCCCGGATCAAGAGACTCCGGCCCAGGCCGAGCTGCAGGACCCTTCGAAGCATGCCTCCCTCGAAGCCGAGCCCCTCTGAGAGCCGGCTACCCCATACTCTTACTACCAGGGTATCCGCCTCGCGTTCAGAAGAGTGCGCCCATTGGCCAGCGGTCGCTTCCAGGCCCCCGCCTCTCCACGCTATAGGCTGCCGCTGGCCCCACCTTTCCGTAACCTCCCCGGGAGCCCCACCCAAGGCGTTGCCTACTGCTCATTGGCCTACCGTTCGTTACGTAATTCCTACGCGCCCTCGGGACAAGATGGGGAGGGAACCCGGCGCTCCCAGCGGAAGTGCTGTTGAGCCAGTTTCCGGGGCCGCTGGTGTGACGTGGCCAGCACTTGGCGCAGCAGGAAGCGGCGGCGATCGCGGCCCGAGTTCCCAGCGCCGGTCCCTGTTCTTCTCCAGCTGCCGCCATGCTCGACTTCTTCACCATATTCTCTAAAGGCGGCCTTGTGCTCTGGTGCTTCCAGGGCGTGAGCGACTCATGCACCGGGCCCGTTAACGCCTTGATTCGTTCCGTGCTGCTGCAGGTACCTCCCCAGCGGAATCAGAACTCCGGGCTCTTTTCTCCCTGACCCCGTCCATAGTTCTTCAAATAATGATCCTGCGCCTCTCTCCCATCCTCTCAGCCCACAGCAGACTGGCCCCTGACTGGTCACCGGCCTGTACTTTCTTCCGTCCTCGTCAGGCTACCCCGCAACTTTGCGACGCCCCCCACATCGGTTATGAGGGACTGTAGCCGGATTACGGGGCCTGTTGGCCTTTCCTCTTGGGATTTTCTTCCCTTCTCTGCAATTTTCTGTTTTGAGGCTGGGGGAGATTATGGATGGGAAAACACCTTTGAGAAACTAAATGGTGCCCAGCCTTTAATGGGCCTAATTGTTTATATACGACAATTTCCTTTCTGGCTCCCACGTGTGTTGCCTGTCTTCTCAGCCTTTTCCCCAACCCCACCTTGGTTTCTCTTTTTCTTCCTGTTGGGATGCTAGAGCGAAATTCCCCAACATCCTCTTGTCCTGGGGACAGTTTTGACTTTGGGAGGTTTAGTATTTACCAAAGGTAATTTGGGGGTCCAAGTGTGGTTTTTCTAGGGATAGCTCGAACCCTGAGACGCACACTTTTTTTTTCCCAGGAACGGGGAGGTAACAATTCCTTCACCCATGAGGCCCTCACACTCAAGTACAAACTGGACAACCAGTTTGAGCTGGTGTTTGTGGTAAGTGGGGGTATTTTAGAGGGACAACGGTTACATTTTTCAACATAGTCTTTAACAGTAATTAAGAGAACCCTGATTAACTGCAATGTTAAGTGCTGAAGTAACAGAAAACTGGATAGGTGGAGGGGGAAAGGCAACTTCTGGACCAGGCAGAGTGCTTGGCTTCCTCTCAGGACAGGGAAACCTGCCAGGTGGCTGAGCCTATCTCTGGAGGCCTGGGTTGAGTTGGCTTCCCTCCATTCTGGGCTGGTATGTAAGCAGATCTGTTTCCTTCTCTAAACAGGTTGGTTTTCAGAAGATCTTATCACTGACATATGTAGACAAATTGATAGATGATGTGCACCGGCTCTTTCGGGACAAGTACCGCACAGAGATCCAACAACAGAGTGCTTTAAGTCTGTTGAATGGCACTTTTGATTTCCAAAATGACTTCCTGCGGCTCCTTCGGTGAGAGGCCTTCCTTCTCCCAAATCAATTTCCATGACTTGATGAGCTCCCTTCCTGAAGGTGGTTCAAGGACAGTAAATTGGGTGTTCAAAACCACTCCAGCTTTGCTGCCTAGTTCTATCATGTCCTTTTGTTATGAGGGTCCTTTCTTTAGATTTCTATATTTTTCTCCAGAATGAGATAGAAAGATAAATCATTCTCTTCTCCCTTTAGTGAAGCAGAGGAGAGCAGTAAAATCCGTGCTCCCACTACTATGAAGAAATTTGAAGATTCTGAAAAGGCCAAGAAACCTGTGAGGTCCATGATTGAAACACGGGGGGAGAAGCCCAAGGAAAAAGCAAAGAGCAGCAAAAAAAAGGGGGCCAAGAAAGAAGGTGTGCTTGAGCTCCGTGGATATGCAGGGGCATGAAAGGTGTTACTGTGGTGATAAGGGCTGAGGTGTTCCTTCCTTTTACCATTGCTTGCCTCCCTCTCACTCATACACTCGCCACCTTCACCGTTATCCCCCGATCTTCATCCCCAACATGTCTGGGCTGTTTGCTCTGTTTTTTTTTTCTCTTGGTACCTGGGATCAAACTCAGTTCCTTGCGCGGTGAAACCACTGAGCTGAATCCCTGGCCCGGGGCTGTTTGCTCTTAATGGAAGACTTCTAGCCATTATCTAGTTGGTTGAGATTTGGCCATTTCTTCTCCAGTGAGGTTTCTCCTAACAGGTTCTGATGGCCCTGTGGCTACCAGCAAAGCAGCCCCTGCTGAAAAGTCAAGTCTTCCAGTGGGGCCTGAGAATGGAGAACTTTCCAAAGAGGAGCTGATACGCAGGAAGAGAGAGGAGTTCATTCAGAAGCATGGGAGGGGTATGGACAAATCCAGGTGAGCATTCTTCTTCAATTCTCTCTAAAGATAGTTACCTAGCTGTGCTGGAGGCCAGCAGGCTGTTTCTAGCTCATTTTTTCCCCCTCACCATAACCCTCTGTTCCCATGACCCTTTGTAGCAAGTCCATGAAGTCAGACGTGCCAAAGGAGAAAGGCAAGAAAGCACCCCGTGTGTGGGAACTAGGTGGCTGTGCTAACAAGGAAGTCTTGGATTACAGTACTCCCACCACCAATGGAACCCCAGAGGCTGCCGTGTCGGAGGACATCAACTTGGTAAGAGGCAACAGGTGCCAGAATGAAGGTCTACAAATTAGAAAACTGGAAAGAAGTAGAGACCAGGAGGGTGATCCCTCTTTACAAAGGCGTAAATTACTTTTGGAGCTTCCCTGTCCCCAGTGTGGACAGGGTAAACCCTGGGCTCTTTGCCCTCAGAGCTTGTAGTTTCTGACCTCATCTTCTTTCCCCCACATCTTCCAGATTCGAGGGACTGGGCCTGGGGGGCAGCTTCAGGATCTGGATTGCAGCAGCTCAGATGATGAAGGGGCTGCCCCAAACTCTGCCAAACCTAGGTAGGATTTGAGATGGGGTGGTGTGTACAACTGTGGATGTGACAGGCCCTGACTCCTGCCTGTGGCTTACATGTGCTTGTGATCTTGTGCCTGCAGTGCTACCAAGAGTACTCTAGGTGGAATGTTTGGGATGCTGAAGGGCCTTGTGGGTTCCAAGAGTTTGAGTCGTGAAGATATGGAATCTGTGCTGGACAAGATGCGTGATCATCTCATTGGTAAGTTCTGAGACTAGTTTCTCAGCTGAACCATGCAATCAGTCACTACTGACACACAATCTCACACCAGTTCCCCTCTCTTCTCAGCTAAGAATGTGGCTGCAGACATTGCTGTCCAGCTCTGTGAATCTGTTGCCAACAAGTTGGAAGGGAAGGTGATGGGGACATTCAGTAGTAAGTATCTATAAGTCAGAATGTGCTTACCATACCAAGAGGTTAAGCACAGTCTCTGCTCTTCCTGGGTGTGTGACTTCTGGCAAATTCTTTTATAATGTGTAAGCTTGTATAACCTACTCGCGTTATTAGACTCAATGAGTTAATATTTAGAAATTGCTTAAACAGTATGGTCTAGATTCCTGGGACAGGATCCTAGCATGGTCCTAGTCCCCTTAGCTCAGAAAGGTGTCTTTGTTTTCTGAGTTACTACATGGCCCATGGCTGGCCTTCAACTCATAATTCTCCTGCCTCTGCCTCCCCAGAAGCTGGGATTACAGGCATGCACCACCATGCCTGGCAAGGTGTTGGACTTTTGAGTACATTCCTTAGGTTTCATGGCTGTGTTCCTTTTACCTCTCTTTGCAGCAGTGACTTCCACAGTCAAGCAGGCTCTGCAGGAGTCCTTGGTGCAGATTCTGCAGCCCCAGCGTCGTGTGGACATGCTCCGGGATATCATGGATGCCCAGCGTCGCCAGCGCCCTTATGTTGTCACCTTCTGTGGTGTTAATGGAGTGGGGAAGTCTACTAATCTTGCCAAGGTCAGTGTAGTTCCCCAGCCTGTCACTGACACTAGTGCACTTCATTCTCCATGTCTTGGAACCCCGAGCCTTGGTGATCGTTTTCTTTACTGTTACAGATTTCCTTCTGGCTGTTAGAGAACGGCTTCAGTGTCCTGATTGCTGCCTGTGATACATTTCGGGCTGGGGCTGTGGAGCAGCTTCGTACACACACCCGGCGGCTGAGTGCCCTGCACCCCCCAGAGAAGCATGGTGGCCGAACAATGGTGCAGCTGTTTGAGAAGGGCTATGGCAAGGATGCTGCTGGCATTGCCATGGAAGCCATTGCCTTTGGTACAGTGCACGGGAAGTGTGGGAGCTTCCTGGGACCCCTTTTCCTCTTTGGGTTCCCTTAGAAATTTCAGATAATCAGGCCCACACTACTACAAACTTAACTGCTTAGCAACAGAGAAAAATCAGGGTTCGTTACTTGCTAAGCTCTGCTTTTGGCTAATGTATATAGTTGCAGGCAAAGCTAATACCCCAACCAAAGAAACCTTATTTTGGTCACCTTCATCCTGTTGCCAGCCTTGCCCCAAGTGGTTTTGGTTTTGGTAGTAGCCAAGAACAGGACAGATTCTCCCCTATATCACCTTGGGACCAAACCTAGAGCCTGAGTAAGTAAACAGGTAAGTTTTCCACAGAGCTAGACTACGGCTTCTTAGGAGGCTGGCACTTGGTGCATATACGTGCTACAGTTGAGTGTTTTCGTTGACCACTCTCTCTGCAGCACGTAACCAAGGCTTTGATGTGGTGCTGGTGGACACGGCTGGCCGCATGCAGGACAATGCCCCCCTGATGACTGCCCTGGCCAAACTCATTACCGTCAATACACCTGACTTGGTGCTGTTTGTTGGGGAGGCCTTGGTAGGCAACGAAGCTGTGGACCAGCTGGTGAGGACTTAGGCCTAGTTCCCCTTTACAAATTAAAACTTTGGCAAATTAGGTGGTTCTTTTATCATCTTTTCCTTTTCCAGGTCAAGTTCAACAGAGCCCTGGCTGACCATTCTATGGCTCAAACACCTCGGCTCATTGATGGCATTGTCCTTACCAAATTTGACACCATTGATGACAAGGTAAATGTGGATGGTGAGATGAGATGAGGCTTTAAGGATCTGAAGCTGTTACTGAGGGTGTGAGTGACAAGGGGGGTTGAGTTGATTGTTGTCCCTTTTTCTCCACTTCAGGTGGGAGCTGCTATTTCTATGACGTACATCACAAGCAAACCCATCGTCTTTGTGGGCACTGGCCAGACCTACTGTGACCTACGCAGTCTCAACGCCAAGGCTGTGGTGGCTGCCCTCATGAAGGCTTAACTCTTGCCTAATACCAAATTGCCGCTTCACCCCAAAAGCCCCAGTCCCTGTATTGAGAATGTGCTTTAGGGTATATGAGCAACTTATCTTCAGTGTAGTACAAAGGCAGAGCAAGGGGAGCCCTGGGGGTGCCTAGCTCCTAATCCCACCCTTGATCAGCCCAGCCTGCATCTGCAAGGAGGGCCTAATCATGTTACAATCACTGCCCACCATCCTCCCTTTTCCCCATGAGCTTTCCTCTTCCTACTCAGGCATCCCTTTCACTCTGCCTACAGATTCATTCTCATCACAGCTTTGACCAATGGTTGGAAGACCCAACACCAGAGCTTTGCCAATTAGGATGGCCCTAGAAGCATCTGTGCCTAAGGAGCAGTTTGAAGCCCCAGCTCCATTAGGTTAAGAGACTTTGCCAGGCCAGCTCTGGGTCCTGAATGGCACCTCTCCCTAGGATGCATACCTTTCAGGTGCCAGGGTGATACCCACCTCACTGTGGCAGTGTGTGGCCTATTAATTGCTGCTAATTCTAAATCTGGTAATGACCCTTGCCCCATGGTTTCCCCAGAGCATCAGCTAGGCCAGAGTGATTTGTTACAAATGAGTGCAAGGTGAGTCCCTGCATCCCTCAGAAACGGAGGGAGCCAAGCTGCAGTGTTGCATTGCATTGGGCTTCTCAGACTTCCATCTCCTTCCTCTCAGAATCCAGATGTAAGCTTTGCATGTGCCCCTTCCTGGGAGAAAACCAGTTGCCAGGAAGGAGTTCCATTGCCTCCTCACCCTACCCTGTGCTGAGCAGGCCCTGGCTTTTTCCTCATCCCTCTCTTCTACAGTGCCTGGTAGACAAGTGCTACATTGACAAATACAAACCTCTTAAGACTTGTCCTGTAGCTTGGTATTACAGATGTGCTATTAGTGCAATAAGGTGAAGGCTGTCTGCCCAGAGAAATACATAATTTATATGAGAAAATAAATTTCATAAATAAACTGTCTCTTTGGTCTTGAAGTTATTTTATGTAGGATTCAGAACTAAAATCCTAAATCACACTAACTAGTTTTAGGGCTTATGTATGTTACGGATAACAAAGCAGGAATTGGCAATGCTCTGAGAAATCAGATGAGATTACTCCACACAACATTAAAGAACAGAACTTTTGGGGGCTGGGGATTTAGCTCAGTGGCACCATGCCTGCCTCGCAAGCACAAGGTCCTGAGTTCAATCCCCAGTACCAAAAAACCAGAACTTCTAAAATTTAAATTGAATCAGAAAAAATTACATGCTATGGTAACTCAAAGAGCCAGGGCCCTGGTGAGTAAATGAACAAGCCTTTAATACAACTCAGGTAAAATACTGTACAATGTAAAAGAGCTAGAAAACTAGAGCTTCAAGTCATGTTTTTAAAAAGTGATTAAGCTTAATTGAAAAACCAAGTGTTGAGTACAAAACTGCAACAAGAGCCCCACTGACTCATGACAGCTCTCCAAGTCCTTCATGCAGAGCTACAGTCACCATCAGTGGAGGTCACACAGTCTGCTGTGTGGACACAAGCACATCAGCCTGGGGATGGGGGTGCTGCAGTCTGGTTCCACTGTCACTTAGGTATTCTTCAGCTTTTCAGGAGGCAGAGGAGCAAGAACCAGCTGGCATGAAGAAAAAGCTGGAACACTTTCTCCCTAGTCTACCCCCAATCTTCAGCCTCTGGACAGTGCCACTTCCTGGAGCTGTGTTGGGTTCTTTCAGGTTTGCCTGTTAAACACTCCATGGTAGGGCCTTACAGCTTGGTCTAATGGTGGCCATTTCTCTAGCTCGTTCATGTACTATAGCCTTTGGAGAGAAAGAAAAGGCAGAGAGTAAGTCTCACAAAACCTTTATTCAAAGCTGCAAGATAGTCTCAAACCTTAAGAAATCAAGATTCTAGCAATTTTGTGGGAGTAATTCACAATTTTTACAAAGTTTTAGGAAAACTTTCTGCTAACATTAAGAATAGGGAATAGCACATACCTCGTATTTCATCATGCACTGCAGATGAGCCATTTAGCTGGCCTTCTCTCACCATCCCTGCTAAATACAAACTACATCAGTATCAGACATTAGCGAAAACACCATCTAAAGGGAGTTAAGGGTACGTAGTATGCCTAAGAAGGATGATATCTAGAAATGAAACAGAGGAGGTGGGAGAATGAACTAGATTAGTTTTCAGACTCATTAAATAATGGAAACTGAAGTTCCTCAGTGCACCAAGTTTACTTGTGAAGAAAACACTTTACACAGGCAAAGTGTCTGCCATCCTTAAGTAGTATTTTACCTAGTTAAATTTTATTTAATCAAGGGTGGGGAGCACCCTTTTGCTTACATGAGTAAGCAAATTCAACCAAGTAGAAGAGTGAAAAATAGACTTTGAGTAGAAAATGGGCTATGCTGTTCAATACGGGATGACCAGCCACATATGGCTAGTTTCAAATTTAATTAACAATTCTGCTCTTCTGCTACATTTCAAGGGCTTGGTTTCTGGCTCTGATAGGACAGTGACAGTAACAGGATATTTTAATCACGGAAAATTCTACTGGACAGTATTTGGATAGATAATTGTATAGGAAGAAGTAAAAAACTACACAGAAAAAATACCAGAAGTTAGTCAAAATATAAACAGACATGGCACTAAAACAGAGATTAGTATTTCCTTCTTGGAAAGCAATTCAGCAATATTTATCAACCACTGAAATGTTCATATCTTTTGACCTACTAGTTATACCGAAAACTCATCCAAAGGAAATTACTGGCAAAGCAAATCCTAGAGATGCCATGTCTCATTACAACATTTCTTGTAACAAAAAATTAGAGGCTAGGTGTGGTGGCACATGCCTGCACTCCTGGTACCTAGGAGGCTGAGGCAGAAGGATCGCTCAAGTTTGAGGCCAGCCTGGGTTACACAGTTCAAGGCCAGCCCAAACTACATAGGAAGGCCCTGTCTCAAAAAAGTGCTGGGATGTAGCTCAGAGAAAAGGCTGTGGCTTCAATTCCCAGTTTACAAAACTGTTTCTTTTGCATTTAATTTTTTTCTTTTTGAGGCAGGGTCTCACTATGTAGTTCAGGCTGGCTTTGAACTCACTTTGCAGCCCAGGCTGCCCTTGAACTTGTGACAATCCTTCTGCCTCAGCTTCCCAAGTGCTGGGATTACAGGTGTGTGCTACCATGTCCAGCTTCATTTAATCTTAACAACAACAAAAATAGTAAATGTGGAATGGCACAAATTCTGTTTGTAGCTGGGTAGGCTTGCTACTGGAGTGGCTTTTCTCAAAGTTATCAGTCATGAAGGCATTGTATACTTTTAAAAATTAAGGATTTTCAGTTATCACCAGAGGAGTTAGTAATGTGAAACTTGGACAGCAGTTTCAGGTGAAAATCTTATTTCATTTAAATCTCTGTAAATATTACTGACAAACATTAAGAAGTATTTTGCTGTTCATTTTCAATCCTGAGCATTTGCTATGTGCCTGGCACTGGGGCATGTACAGTACTGTACTTACTTTTTGCACAGTGAAAATTACTTGAAATGTTCTATAGTGCCTAGTTCATATATACTTCAGAAAACTCCATGGGGAAAAGAAAAATCTCTTATAATTCACTGATCCATTGCCACATAAGTAGTTATCTGGATACAATGCCTAATGATCGGGACATTTTAGTTGCTAAGTTTTTGCCTTTATACACAAGCCAGGCTGGCCTTGAACTCATGGTGATCCTCCTGTCTCAGCCTCCCAAGTACTGGGGTTGCAGGTGTGTGCTACCATGCCTGAATGAACAGTTTCCTTAAGAGAAATTTATTCCAGGATAAATTATATTGCTGGGATTTCTGGGTCAAAGCTGTTTAGATTTTTGATACACACTCTTAAACTTATCTTCATAAAAGATCCTTCATCCCAGCAATGATTTTACCCGTCACAGACACACAAAACGCTGAAGGGATGAGACTCTCTGCTGCCCCTCTGTTTGTCACCAAATGCATCTCACCTAATTTACCCCTTGTGGAGATCTCACAGGTCAGTCTCTTGAAATACTCTGGAAGATCAGCATAGTCATTTCCATAGGAGATAACCTTAATCCCCTTGTCCAGCATGTTTTCTCGAAGCTTTTTGAACTCATCTACATCTCCTCTTCGAACCAGCATGAAATGTTCTAAGTCAGACTTATGCTTGACAGCCTCCAGGAAGAGGGCCTGGAAAGTGGTGTCGTCCACAGTCCAGCCACAACCCAGGAAAAGAAATGACTTGTTTTCATAGAGTTTCTGAATCTCTCTCTTGAAGGAAAAGAAACAACAAATTCAGGAACCCAAGGACAGATACAAGGCATGGCTGAAACAAAAAAACAACAGTTCACAACTGTCCCATTCAACAGATTATGAAGACAAATTAACCAAGGTTGAAGAGGTAGATACACTCTGTGTAGGCTTTTTCCAAGTAGGCTGATCTCCTGCTTATTATTTTTACCTAGATAAAATGTATCTACTTTTTATGCATTCTTCTTCAGCCTCTGAAATCAGAGTTTCACAGGATTGGCATTGTTCTAGTGGTCTAGTAGTTTATTTTTTTTAGATCTGTGTGTCCAGAGGTCTTTAGGCATTGAGTGGGTCTTCAATATTATCTTCCTCTTTTCACTTTCTGAGCCACATTGGGGTTTTTTTTTTGCCTTACAAACTGAACCACAGACCATCACAAAAGATAATTTCATCACAAGATGTGCTCAAAGGAAGTCTGATTACTTAGAACATCAACATGTAAATGTGTAAATGCTATATGTACATATATACATACACACTAATCTAAAAAAGAAATTATTATGTTGAAGGGAACATTCACTGTCAGTGGTGAAGATGATTACAGCAGATGTCAGGAAAGAATGAGACTTATAAGACTTATGCTGTAGAAAACATCAAATTTCTTGGTCTTTCTTTGGGTGTACCCTGTAAACATGATAGCATTCTATGTGACACAATCTTGACAATAACCAGCACTGAGTCGGGGGCCAGTGAATTTCTCCACATATCACTGGCCAGGAAGTGCTTCTGGTTTAAACATGTACATGTGAATAATTTTATCAATTATTTATTGACACAGGGTCTCCCTATGTAGTCCAAGCTGGCCTTCAACTCACTATGCACCCAGGTCGGCCTCAAACTCTTGGCGATCCTTCTGCCGTGGCCTCTCAAGTGCTGGAATTACAGGTTGTGCCACCGCAACTGGCTAGAATAATTCTAAAACTTGTATCTCAAAAGATCAACAAATACAAAGGAAAAAAAACCTTGATTTTATCACCCAAGTCATTTCTCCTCATGTTTTCCATTGAGCAGTAAGTGTAAATAAATGTAGTCAATTCAATCTAAGCCACTGCCACATACACAATTCTCTTTAGAATGTATGCTCCAGTGTGGTCAGTTTGTAAAAGGTACCTAATTTATTTCTGGCACAGAATCATTAACAAATCAAACAATGATGTGTTCTCTGTGTGGGAAGATGATGTCAATACCTGCTGGTTGCTCACCAGGTACACACAAAACCCAGGCTTGACCCCTGGAGGGAAGCTCTGCATCTCCTAGGATGCCATGCATACTCACAAGCTAAGAGGCATAGGAAGGAAGTAGGACCTTCCCGTTTTTGATTAATGAAAAGGAAATGCTCCCTCTTTAATACCTATGGGATATCTAGAGACCTTCAGGAAGGAGTTCCCAAACCCAGCAAGATCAGCACCACTCACCATAACTTCAGTGTTCCTGAGGACGTTCTGATATCCAGCTGGATGAAGGACAATGCCACTAGGGTTGGTGTAGACCCCATGGATATGTAACACGCTCAGGTTCCGCTTCTCCTGAGCCCACTCCAGGACCTGCATGACACACACACAGCTCGACCAGGCTAGCAGGGTGAGTACCTGCTCAAAGGTCACAATAGGCAAGAGGCTGTTTTGAGGACCAGACTTCCAACATAACTCTTCAGCTTCATGATATCACAGCAAGAATGCAAAACCTGATGTGGTTTTTATGTTTCCATTTCAGGTATGACTGTCAGGAATGACGGCAGGAAGCCTGGTGATTTCTCTTTGAAAGTAACAATCAGAAATTAGAATCTGTCATCAACTGAAGAAACAATGGTGGCCTCTTCTGATGGTAACAAACATGAGAGGTATGGATGACTGCTTCAGTGACGGCCCAAGAAATCATGCCTCCCTGTATCAGAGTCACAGGGACTCCATGCTGGCCACATGGCTTGCCTTTGCCAGTGGGGCATTAGCAAACACAACATAGGCAAAAGCCTGAAAAGTGTTGGCATGAGTCCTATTTCACTCTTTGCTGCTTTTGAACCCTGCTGCCCTGGGAAGAAGCCAAGCTAGAAACACAAAGCTCAGCCAGTTGCCTATGTCTATGTAGGGTAGAAGCAAGGCCATCTCATACACCATGGAGGCCTGGCCTGGCTACCAGACAACTGCAGCTCCGTCTCAGGGGGCTTTCTTATGTGGCAACAGAAACGTGTAAGAAGGATCAGTTACCCCTGAGGAATCTAAAAGGCTGCCCATAAAGAACCACCATTCAGAAGACAGTGGTTACAGCAGCTACCTGGATTTCAGGGCTCCATTTCTTCAAGGATTCTTTACTCTTCTATTGCTTGGGAGAAATAGGGTATGGAATAGAAAAAAGTCAACAGGTACAAAGATTTAGGGTTTGAGTTTCTCTAGGCCTCATTCTGACTTCTAGTGAATGCCTTTAACCATCAGACTTTTCCCATCCAACTCTGAACCAGGCCTGATCCAGCTTAGCTTCTGAGAGCAGAGGCGATCATGTGCATTCATGGTGGCATGCTATAAACTAAACATTACACTTCTATAATGGCCCTGGTGTGGGCTAAAAAATATAAAGCAGATATGGAAGCTCAAGGAAGAAATGAGAAGGAAAATGCCAAGACTTACAGGGGTCTTCAATTTTGAAAAGCCCCCCACCTTTTTTTGCAAAGGCCCTTATGTTTCTGATGCCCACGAATAATTGGCTATGATCCTTGAAGACTGAATCAGAAATGGCATGGAAACTGTTCTGGCTACTATTTTTGAATTTCATACAATCACTGAGAAATATTTACTGAGTCCCTGCTAAGTATCAAGTACTCTCTGACAGATGAAAGAAAGGCTAAAATGCCTGTAAGAATGGTTTCTCGGGGGAAGGGATACTTCAGTTGAGACTTACAGGCAAAAAAGAAGCCTGGCTGTACACAGCCTGAGGGAAGAGGAGCAAAGCACTGCTGCCAGAGAAAGCCAGTTTTGACAGCACCACTTTTCTAAATTTAATTCCCTTTTAAAACCTAGCTTCCGGATCAACAAAACCACAAGGGTAGTATTATAGCTGTTACTCTGGCAAAGGCAGGACTGTGGCAATGGATACCAATGGGTCAATCACTTTTCTATTCAGATTATTTAGACTATTTACCTGAGTTCTAAAACGGACACAAAGGTAGGTTGCTGAGGAAAACAAAGCATAGAAAGAAAATTACAAAAACCCTAGGGCCAAATGAGAACTTACAAACTCATCTTATTGTTAAGTTAACAAGGGCTTATATCTTTAACTCAGTAGGTATGATAGATGGCATAGGTTTAACATGGGTTACATTTTTTATAAGTCCTGAATGTTGGCCCCGGGATTTAGTTCAGTGGTCTGCTGCCTGCCTTGCAAGCACAAGGACCTAAGCTCGATCCCCAGTACCAATAAAAAAAAAAAGAAAAAAAGAAAAAAAAAGTGCTGAATGTTAACCTCAACCACCTAGCCTGGAACTTGCTCTTCCAATCATCAAAAAGTAGTCTTCACACATTTCCAAAAAAGGTCAAAGTGCACCCTGGAGAGAATTCTAAATAAACATTTTACTACTCCATAGTATCATGTGCTAATGAGATCTTACAATTCAAACGATTTTCTCTAGTCTTGCTTTTAAAACTAGGCTAAAGTATCAATTAAACATTTTTAAAATTACAGTATCAAGATCTAGGAGACATTACCACAGATTTAATAGAATTTAAAAGGACATAGAAAGCATATTACAAAAATCTTTTTTGAAATAAATTTGACAACTTCTAAGAAGTACCTTGGAAGACAAATTAATGAAACTAACTCTGGAAGAAACATAAAATTTGAATAGCACCTATTAAAGAAAGTATATTCCTAGCTCAAAAACCTACCTATATGACAATAACAGGCTCATATACATTGTGTAAGAGGAAGAAAAGGTCTAAAGAAGCAGGGGAAGTGGGAGGGGTAGGGGAAAGGAAAGAAGGAAAAAGAAAAAATATGAGAAAAGGAAAAAAATGGAAACAAAGTCTTTGCAAACAGGGAAGGGTGGAAAGAGTAAAGTGAGGGCAGGGGAAGGGGAAAAAAAAAAAGAACCAAGATAACTCATGTAATGGTACAAGATTCCAATGATGCATGTAACTGTATTTTATACCTAAAATGTACCAATAAATTTAATGGGGGGAAAAAAAACAACAACTAGGCTAAAGGCTGGGGATGTAGCTCAGTGGTTCCACTGCAAGTGCAAGGTCCTGAGTTTGATTGCCAGTACAAAAAACAACTTGGCTAAAGTGTCAAAACCTGAAGTGAACACTTTCAAGATCTGTGCATTTTGGGCCGGGTATTTAGCTTGGTGGTTTCGCCGCCTGCTGCGCAAGCGCAAGGACCCGAGTTCGATCCCTGGTACCAAAAAAAAAAAAAAAAATCTGTGCATTTTAATGTATACTGATTTTATCTCAAAAACAAACCCCAAAAGTATAAGGAGGGAAATGTTTCCTTTCTTTTGTTACATATATACCAACCAGAAAACAGTTTTTCTGATTCAGACACAACCCACTAGCTTGAATAATAGATTAATGCTTTAGGTTTTACCTTTTTCTCATCAGTAAGGTCAAGGGATTCAAGCTGTTTTCCCTGGTCTGCTGCATACAGTTCCAGGAGATTGTCAAAATTTGTAGTTAATACTAGGGCTCCATTTTCCATCAGATGAAGAACTGACTGCAGAAGCTGTTTTCCAGAATCTTCCATCTTTGACTCCAGGTCATCAAATACTTCATATAAACAGTCTTTGAAAAATGTGGATCGAACATTACTGGTTCTCTGGGGAGGAATTTGAAAGAAAATTAACCTACATTGTTTTGGGAGGTTACTTGTTTTAATAAAAGTAGTAATAAATTTTTGAATGGTGGTGCACACTTGTAATCCAAGCACCTTGGGAGGCTGAGGCAGGAGATCTTCAAGCGCATACCCAGCCTGGGCAACTCAGTGACCTACTGAGCCCCTCTCAGAGCCAGGGGACATAGCTCAGTGCAAAGGCTGTGGGTTCAATCCCCAGTACTGGAGAAGATTTTGTATTTAAAATAGGGATAAAGTATTTAAACATTTTTATAGAAAGAAGAAAATGGGCAGTTAAGAGATACAAATTTGGGCCAGGGCTTTAGCTCAGTGGCACCATGCCTGCCTCGCAAGTGCAATGTCCCAAGTTCAATCCCCGGTACAAAAAAAAAAAAAA